CTACTTCTTCTTCTGCTACTACTACTGCCAAAACTACCAGTACTACGACAATGGCAAAACAACTAATGACTGGGAAGAGAGAAGTATGTACGGCCAAGATGCCTTTTTTTATGCAGCAGAAGACGAGGTTTAGGAGCAGAAGGCCACTAAACGTCTGAATTTTTAGCATCGCCATGACGGCCAAGACCGCCTGTGGCACATCCTCGCCAATCGCAATCCTGCAGTGCTCTGCTGCCACAAGACCTTGATGAACTCAGCCCACGCCTCAGCCCCCCCCCCCCCAAGACAAGAACACTGACCACCATCATCCACCAGTCATGACGAATCCCGTCGGGCAGAAGCTGCTCAATAACTAGAATGTGGCTGTGAAATACCTGCAGGCAGACACCCAGCGCGGGAAGGAACTCCTTGGCAACCTCCACGCAGCCTGAATGGCGCGACCATGGGTCTCTGGCTGGTGGTTGTCCTTGCTCGACAGCAAGGACGGCCACCAGCCAGAGACCCAGCCTCCCAGACGATGCCAGCGCTTCTGTTGTTCATCATGCACCACGACATCAGGACCAAGAGGAATCCGTTGTGCAGCACATAATAGACCAGCAGTACGGTGGATTTTCCAAGCCCCAGGGCGCGCTCATACTCGTAGAGGCCAGGTATGCCTGCACTCTCTTTCTCGGGCTCTGTCAGCATCGGCCTGGTCCCGGCACGGTCCTCGTTGAGTGTCAGCACACAGGCGTTCCTGCTTGAAGCGGCAGGTTTCTTCGACACCGTCCTTTGAGCACGAGGTTCCCGACGCAGCGAAGAACTGGGCCATGGCCACAGCCACTCCGATGAGGAGCAGGGCACCGAGGACGGCATCCGGCCACCGGTTGCCCATCATCTCGTCCTCCAAGTCGGACTCGGCCGTGGGCAGAATCTCCTTCTCCTGCAATGGCTGCCAGAAGGGCACGGCGCTTAGGAAGCGCTCCATCACAACGAGCCTTGGCCGCACCACATCGAGCGATGGCAGAGCAGAAGTCACGGCATCGAGACCGGGGAAGGGCAGCCCACCCAGTCGAGATGTTGGACAGGTTTTCACCTTCACTGCCGCAAGGCGCCGGGCCTCGAAGTCGCGCGTTTGCAGCTGCCACAATGGCAGCATGATGGCGAGGCTCGCCGCCAGGCTCACCATACGACCGAGCGCCATCAGAGCCTTCGTATGGGCCATGATGTCACCGTACCGGCCCGAGCGATCTCACCGCAGGGATTGCACGAAACAAGATACAGGTTAGCAAAAAGCACCTCACGGTCACCGTTACTGTAAATATCCTTGCATCATTGCTTTTCGCAGCTTGAGCCAGAAACAAGCCACATTGAAACAGTTCCACATGTCCTTCTAGTCGAGCGGCACTCTGTTTCTTGCAACTAGCAACGAGGAACGCATGGAGAGAGAGAGAGAGAGAGAGAGAGAGAGAGAGAGAGAGAGGGAGAGGGAGAGACGGGCGAAGGACAGACCGACGGATTGACAGACCGATAAATAGATAGATAGACCCATACAGGGAAAGAGAGAAAGAGAGAAAGAGAAAAAAATATGGAGACAGGGAAAGAGAAAGGCAAGAGTGAGAGAGAGCGAGGGCGAGCGAGAGGGAGACAGAGAGAGAGCGAGAGAGCAAGATGAGCGGGCGCGAGCGCGAGAGACAGGGAGAAAGAAGAATGGGGAGCAGGGATCCGGGATAGAGCGGGAGGAAGAGATCTAGGCCCTAGGCGGGGGAGGCTGCACCCTGCGGCCAGGCCAGAGCTTTCGGCCTTCTCCCAGGGCGTCGGCCTTTCTCCCCAAAGCTCGCTGCTGTGAGGGCTTAAAGGATTTAGGGTCTGGGGGCTGGGGGCTTGGTGTGTGGGGTTTAGGAGTTTAGGGTTTCCGGTCTCTGGGAGAGGGCCGGCACTTGGCAAGACGGAGCCTTGGTGTTGTCAGATGAGCTTAGGGGTTTATGTTAGGCTTTCTTTGCGGCAAGCTCTGCTCAACATCTGTGTTGAAGGCGAACTTTACAAAAACTCGTCTCCCGCGGCCCACTGCTAGCATACACGGCAAATCCCACTTTATGTGGAGCACCTGAGCGCTCGAGCTGGGACTCGGCACACGTCATCGAAGACTTGAACCGCAACCGGAAACCAGAACGGGCCCAACATCTAGAAGAATCTGGCTGCGGCCTCTTCTTCGGATACGCATCGTGCAGATGCTTCTCTTTGGCGCTGGGGCCGTAGCCCTGCAGATTGACAATTTCCCCGGAGTTTCGGGATAACCACGGCTCTGGAACTACAGAGGCTGACGTTGAATGAGTGCACGGGGAAAGGATACTCCCAGCCTGCAGGCGGGGGGGGGGGGGAATCCTTTGACCAAGATCTAAATCATCCATGCCTTGCCATCGATGATGTCGTAGCCGCGTCGCCGCTGCTCCTGGCAAAGAGTAGTAATACATGATATGCGTATTACAGTCGGCTTCTGCTCCGAATTTTACTGCTGCTATAGTACTGCCGATGCTACTGCTGCTGCCAATGCTACTGCTAATGCTACTGCTGCTACTGATGATGCTACTGCTGGTGCTACTGCTGATGCTACTGCTGCTGCTGCTACTGCTACTGCTACAGTAACTGCTACTGCTACTGCTTCTCCGACTACTCCTACTACTCCTTTACTGCTCCTACCACTCCTTCTACTCCTACTCCTTCTACTCCTATTCCTACTCCTATTCCTATTCCTGCTCCTACTCCTCCTACCCGTCCTCCTCCTCCTGCTACTACTACTACGACGACAACTTTCTAGCTTCCGTCAAGGATCATAGCAGCCCAAGCATAAATGGCAAAATGTCATTCTACGACATTTTGAGGTCTTCCTTCTCAGGAACCCCTGAGTAGCTCCTTGGGAGTGTGGGGAGCTAAGGGTCCTGGTCCTTTCATCGGCGATTCAGGCGCAGGATGTAATGGAGGCGGGCACAAGACCGAAGGAGAAGGCCAGTTCTCAAGGCCAAAGGGGGCGACCCAACTTCCACTACACACCCTCAAAGCCTTCTGATCCCACTCTTGAAACCCCCGAAAAACAACGAGCCCAAAGCCGCCCAAGCTTTTCTGGGCTAAGGTTTCAAGGCAAGGGGGGTCTGCGACGGATCTGATCTCCTCATATCTCTCTGGCGCCACGCGGTTTAGCTGGCGGACCTCGCAGAGGAACACCAGTCTATGCTGTTGCTGCAACATGGTCTATATGCTTAGATAGTGCTCGATAGCTCTCTGACACAGCTCCCAAGCTTCAGTCAATGCCAATCTGATCTTCTGCGGCCTCCGGTGTACCAATTACCAATCTTCGGTTTCGGCTGTGAATCAAGGGCCTTCAAAATTGGAACCCCGTTGCTTCTGGAGTTTTTCGGGCCTCTGGGCCCAAGCCTAATCCCAAGCCCAAGCCTCGCGGATGTGGTCACCTTTGATGTCCTGCAAGGGCTGCCACACCACCGAAATCCCGCGCACAAGCACTATAGAACTATTTATTAATCATTACTATTACTATTAGCATTAGTATCACTATCATTATTATTATTATTGTTATTAGTTATTATTTCTATTGGAATTATTACTTAGAACAACGCCCAACCGATGCCGGCACTGCTACGTAAGTGTTGACAGCACAAGAGATGGCTCAGACACTGCAGACAGCCATCGCTCACATCTTGGCGCTGTCAGCGGGCCCGAGCGTGGAAGTTGTGATCGATGATGTGTCGATTCCTGGCGGGCAGATCCGAAGAACAGTGCTACAAACCAAGATTCTACTGGGAGTGGGCCTGTTCCCGTCAGCAGGAGACCCATTCTGAGAGCCTCTTAGCTAATGCCACAGGCTTGAAGTCGAAATTCTGGGGAGGAACCCATCCCCAAACTCGGCAGGCCACTTGTACCGGTCCGTGCGCTCTCTTTGCAAAGTGTCGAAGAGATGGAGCATGTCGGAATCGTAGGTCTGCGGGACAGGATTAACATGCTGCGCGCTCTGCGTGTCGCACACCTGAGATGCTACAAGCAACGACCTTTTCCCACGGCACGCACTGGGTTGGCAACTTGCACGAAACCAGCTTCTCCCTGCTGACGTAGTTGTCTTGCCGTAGTCTGCAACAATTGCACGAAGTCGAGGTTCATGTATACCTGGAGCCCTCATGATCACATCAGCACATTCACACCGGTAAAAAGCTCCAGTACATGCAGCTACTTCCAAGTGCACCGAATGGTCTTTGGATTAAGAAAGTCTTGATAGTCTTGCCAATCGATGCTACCCGGGCGGACTGCCGACGTCGAAAGTGCATCCAGTGAACTTGATGTGTGCCGGTGTCCTCATCTGCCTTTCCCTGACTGCCACAGCGCACAGCCTGGGGCAGTACCCGCCTCGGCTCAGTAGCAGCCGACGAGCACCAGATTGCGATCCCAGTCGAAGACAAAGGCATTTGGGACGGAGAAGTTGCCATTCGAAAGGGTGAGGACTCTGGTCGTCCTAGCATCCATCTGCCTTGGCGGGAGTGGCTGAGCTACAGCCTAGCCTTCAGTGCGTCTTGATGGAGGGGCCTCATCAGAGCCACCAGGTCCCGCAAGCGCAGCTCATCCAGCTCGTCGATGACTCTGTCATTCCAGGCCTCGGATGCACATCCTCACCCATTCCCTGCCTTCCGGTGTAGGATACTTGCAGACTGGGAAGCAGCTCCAAGCCTGAGGTCTACGAATCAGCAAACAAGAAGCTTCTTCGACCTTTCAAGTTACCGGAAGCCTTTCAGCAGAAAGCCTCTCAGCTCATTGCAACCGTGAGGCCCGAGAACGAAACTCTGAAAATCCAAAATCTGATTTTCGGAAACCTTGATGACGAGAAACCAGAAGAAACGCGACAAACTACTAAGGGAACCTTGAAGCAAAATAGAGAGAAAAACCGTCCAAGAAGTCCCCAAACCGCCAGAAGCTCTGCCAGCACGCGTGGAGCTTGGCCAAGTCCGATCCCAGCTCTTCTTCCACTTCTGGGATCGTCGACTTGATGAGGGTTCAGGGGGCCATTCAGGCGTGGATTGGGACCGAACCCCCGCACCATGCACACTTGCACCGGAAGCTCGCGACGTGATTTCTGCAGATTCGGTCGTTCACCCTCAATGCCTAGGCTTCAAGCCTCCATGCCTCAACTTCTTGGGGGTTGCAGATGAGGCACGTTCGCTCTCCGCCCCTGCCCTGTTCAATGACCACTGATCAAAACGGCGCACCTGGGCTTTAAATTGAGATGTCTTTTTCTTCTGCGAAAGACCGCCTTGGGTATAAACTAAACCACCAGAATGACAGAGGGAACCGCTTTAGAACCTTGCGGCGATGCTGAAGCGACCGTTTTCCGATCGCAGTTCCCTCTCGATGCGTGTGCAGTCCGACTGGAGGAAGCTGTGCGTGCCGAGGAGATAACTTTTTGAAGGTGCTGGTGCAAGGGCTGAACGAGAAGGTTGCTCGACGGAATTCCGTGCTGGAATTCCGTCGAACAACCTTCTCGTCCAGCACTTGCCCCAGCCCAATGTGGATAGCTGAGGCACACCGGTGGCACACTTACAGCAGCAAGCTCTAAATCCACAAAACCCTCGCACCGTGTATGAGCTCCTCTGCAAACAAACTCAAAGGCCGAAGGGCAAAATTCAAAGTTCCTCAGCATACTCCTCGGCATCGTCCCAGGCGCTCTCTCCTTGAGCTTCCGTCGAACCCGGGAACCTCCATCGTGCCTTTGCGAAGTATGCTACGAGATGCTATGAAGCACTGCCCGTTGCCAGGCTTAGATAGGCTTAGCAGCTATTCGCAAAGGTTGATGCAAACCGAGAACAACTTCTGTCGTACTCTGCGGCGCCTTCAGAACCGGCTGACATTTGAAGCCCTTTCCCTCGCAAGCACAGAACGCACTGAAGTCAGCTCGGGCACACGGCCGTGATCTCCAAAGAGGTGCCCTGCCGCCCCTCCGTCAGTTGCCTCCTGAATGGCCGATTTGGGGCTTCGACACACAGGAAGTCTGGAGCAGGAAGAGATTTCAGACAGGCGTCAAGCTCGTTGCATCCGTCAGCTCCTCCTGCCCCACGAAGAAGCTCGTGAAATCCGGGTCCTGGGCTTCAGGATCTTCAGGCATCCGACTCAAGGCCAACATGCCACGTTCAGTTGGCCATTCAGCGGGGGTTTGCAAGGTACACGAGCGATGAACCAACCACCGAGCAGAACGATAGTTTCCTTGTACTGCAGGAAGAGTGCTTCCGCCGTGCCCTCCCACCCTCCCATGTGCAATGTCTCTCATCATCAACCTGCGGTGTACCCCTCCATGGAGAGACAGCAATTGCCTCAAGCTCCAAACCTAAAGCAAAGCCAGGCTTCCAGGGAGGGCGGCGTTCGTCGTTCTCGCAGCAGCTGCCGCAGCTCCGCAGCCGTGCTCTCGGAGTCGAGGCGGCAGTCGTAGAGGAGGTTTCCACCTTGCGGGGCTTCTCCCTTCATCCTCACCGGCCGTGCTATGAACAGGCTTTGGGCCTGCCGAGCGCAGCTCCAACGCCACCAGGGCCTCGTCGAGCTGCTCCGCCGAGCGCATCCTTATGGCGGACCGATACGATAGGGCTGCTAACATGTGTTGGGATTGAGGAGTTGGTAACGAGGGTTTCAAGGAGACCTCTACTCCAGGTCCCCAGACGTTTCGAAAGCTTCAGCCAAGACGGCCCTCCTTACACTATAGTCTGGAAGTGAACTGGAACTTCACGTCGTGATATTCGTAGCCGGAGCTTGCAGACATAGACAAATGGTTGGGGTATGTGAACTCTGTGGCATGGCGCCTCAAGCCAACCACAACGCAATTGATTCTCCTGCAGTCGCAGTGCGTGGTCCTTTCGAACGACTTGTCCACTGGCTGAGGGTGTCGGGATGGGATATCGGTATCCGACCTGTCTCGTGTAAGCAGCGCCTATCTATTGATCTGAAGATCGGGGAATCATTGAGCGAAACCTGCGGCAGGATCTGGCTGCGCATCCCGAATACCGACTCCAAGACAGAGATCTCCCATGACGGGCCGGGGAGGCCCTGACTCTAAGCAAGTGCTTCTGAGGCTCAAGGCCCCAAGGTCGGTAGGGCTCAAATTGCAGGCCGGCCAGCAGTCAGTCGCAGGGCCATGCTGCAGGGATCGGTTTAAGCAGCCGACAGCTGTACTTAGCCTAATGCGCTGTACCTGAAGGAAGGGATGGGCGTTGAGCAAAAACGCTGAGGCTTCAGGGTGGGCACGTAAGTCCAGGGCTGCTTTGTTGATTACTGATTCTCCGAAAATGTATATACTGGCAGCCGAAACAGACAGCAAAGAGAATCATCCCACTGCTTAAACTCGCTATCACCGGAACTGCGCAGCACTGTGACATTCCACAAACCCTGAGGTTGTTCGGAGGATCCTCGGATTTGAGGTTCTGGGCTTGGCTCTCTGCCCAACCTCGTGGGAAACGATACCGTAAGCGGCGGTCTCGCGGCCCTGGCACACAGGAGCTAAAGCATTCGACAAGCAGACGGGAATGTGTCGACGCAGTTTTACGAGAAGCAGCTGTGATAATGATGGCAACGACAGTACCAACAACTGTTCAGCAAAAAAAGTCGTAAGAAGGGTGGGCACGCTAGTACTCCTGAGGCAATCAGACTAGAGACATCTTTTAGCGATGATAACAGTACTGAGTGGTAACTACAGTCATGGAAACAATACTTACATTAGTACTGCGGCGAGGTTCGTAGCGACCACATGAGAAATCAACACATAGCTTGATACTAAATAAACATCGAACTCAATCCTTCTCGCTTGTGCCTTTCTTTTTCCAGCTAAGCCTGGGAATCGTAAGGCGTCGTAAGGGCCCTGAGTCGTTGGATAAATCGCGGGCCGACAAAGGAGGAGGGCATGCACAATGCTTGGTGTCACAATGCCGGACCCCCTTCAGATACATCATCGTCTGGTGGGCCGGGTGGGTAAGACGAACTGGTGCTCGCAAGCCTTGATGGATGCGCGCACAAGATGTACATGTTTATACGTGCAAGCACACACAAGCCATGTAGATTGTTGCTTCATCAACATCGAACCCTTCCTTTTCCAGCTAAGCGTGGAAATCTTAAGGGCCCTGAGTGGTTGGATAAATCGCGGGCCGACGTATGCACAACGCCTTGTGTCACAAGGCCCTCTCCCTACTGCCACTTCCCCAACGAATTGGAGCCGAAGGTTGGTCGAGGAGAGCAAGCAGCAAGCTTTGCCAGCTGATGGCAGGGCAGGCACGGGTACTGCATCACCCGCCAAGACTGCAGAAGAATCCATGGGTCCGCCAAACCAGCACGACTCAAGCCATCGCTCGGGTTGTCGTCACTAGGGATCCACTCGGTCCACACTCGAACATTGAGAGCAGCCCAGAGCAAATGGCCCAGGACCGAAACATCCCCAGAGGAGCTCGTACGCTTGGCCACAGCTGAGCACACAGCCTGATTGTCAACGAACAGTATGACAGCATAGTCACGAACTTGGTGTCTCTGGAAGACCGCAAAAACACTGCAGAACCGCCAGAGCTTCCAGCGGGCCAGCACCGACTCTGGCACTGACGATGCTCCGCATGGAACTCGCTTGAGTCAGGAAAGCAGATCACGTGACCTAAGCCCAATCTCCATCCGGAGTTAACTCGTAGAAAGCATCCCGGTACTGTCTCTGCACTAGCGCCCATTGCAGTTTTCCCCGAAGCTTAGCCGCCTCTGGCCTGCACCTGTTAGCCTCGAGAGTCCGACGCAGATCCTCGGTTAAGGAGTCGCAGAAGCCGACTTTGAGGTCTACCTCCAGACATCTGTCAGCCAAAACATGAGACAAGTTGAAGAGGACTCCAAGGAAGTGTCAGTGCATGGCCATCGGAGCTTCCTCAGCCGGGTCCAGCCTGAGGCCCAACAGGCTGCAAGCTTGGCACAACCATGCCTGTCCGCTGCCACGTGCGGCCACGAAGTCAAGGACACCACTGTCGTCGAAGTAGTTGGCCGTACAGACAGCCCCCATGCGTCGGCAAAAGGCTGTAACCAAGGCAAGCAATCTGTTGCAGTTGAGAACGGCTGGGGCCATACCGTTACGGATGAGCTTTGAGCCTTTGAGCCTGGCGTAGCGGACCTCACCAAGATCCTCGTCGAAGAAGGCCGCGATCAAAGCTTGCTGCTTGGAGGGATCATTCGGGATCTGGCGGTACACCGAAGCCATATTTACCGTGCCAAGCACCACAGCTTGGATCAAAAAGCAACGCAGACGTCTTGGCCACCGCCCCAACAAAGTCTGGCGAGGAAGTGTAGATGGTCTCCTCAGCAAAGCAGCAGGCATTACGACCGCTAAAGCGACCATCAATCCCCCGGAGCTTGTTCGACTGCTGAGGCATGAATCGGCACATAGGCAGCCGCTGCCAACGCCATACCTGGCATCAAGCTCTTGCTTCGTGAAGGGACCCTCGGCCACATTTGCACCAATCTCTTCCATTGCCTCAGCGGCCCAGGGAAACTTTGGAAGAGTGCTCTCTACTTGATGTGTGACGGCACAGCGTGAGAGCCGAGCAGGGCCGGCAGGCCAAATCTTTCCGGGGGGGCTCCACGTCAGGCTCACGAAAGATGCCCGGAACTTAAAGCCGGTTACAAACCGAACTCCTACAGCCTTATCAGGCCATCTAAGCAAAATGGGCGAGGGCGGTGAGGGAAGCTGCCCTGCCTTCCGATGCCACTTGAGCGCGAAGGGCTTCGTCCCATGGGCTCACAAGCTTCAGCACAGCTTTGAAGGCTTTGGCCTGCTGCTGCCTCCATATGCGGATGCAGGGACCCAGGACACACATGGCGCGGCAGGCAAAGACCACATCATCATCCAAATCAGCTTCGGCCTTGAGGTGGGACTCCTTACCTACATCAAAGGGCAACAACGGGGCCGGGGCGTTTGCAGAGTTCGGGCCACCAGCTTGTCGTCCCAAGGAGCGTTGAGACTCTCCTGACCGCGTTTGCTGTTTCCACTTGAACTAGGACCGGCAAAGGGCGGCCTGATGCCTCCATCACTTCCTGCACAGACGCAGCGACGCCGCGGGCTGTCAACACTGTCAACCTTTCCTGACCAGGCTGGTCTGGTGCAAGCGCTAGCCGCTGAACATTTGCGAGAGGACAGGCTTTCGGCTACAGCGGCTACAATGGAAGTGGAGAAAGTACTGGGAGGCCCCACTAAGGTAATGTCACGGGGACAATGGACCTCATCGATGAAAGCTGATGGGCTCCTGACATCGGCCTCTGTCGCGCATGTGCGTGACCACAATTGTCCTGCACCTCGAACCCACCTATCAGAAGGAAACTTGGCAGCACGCATTCGGGTCAATGGAGCCATCTGGGAAGCGACAACAGTGTCAGGAACATGCAAAAGCCTAACCAGGACGGTCTCACTCAGGTCCTCATGGGCCTCAAGACGCGAGTGACCCAAGCACAACCCCTATTTGGTCTTCTTATTGAAAAAAGGACAGGTCATGCGATTGTGTCTGGCACTGGCAGCAACACTGCCGTCAGGCTTGACCACGTCACAGGCATCCAGCTTCCCACACGACCCGTCACACCCGCGAATGTCATTCCAGCGTTTGCAAAGCTGCTGGCCCTTGTGCATGCTGGCAGCTCTTCGCACGGCTTGTCCGGGCTCGTCGGTGGGTGTGAACCCCTTGGAGGCCGAGCTTGAGGAGATCATAGCGCCGAGGAGCAACGCAAAAAAAAGAGGAGTGGGAGAAGTTGAAGGCCACCGTCAAGGAACCTTTCAAAAATCGAGACCCTGTACTTCTGTCCCGGTGAAGAGCAACAAGGCCGTCTATACATTGCAGCAGATGGTGACGGAGATCAAAGCCTTGAGCTACCCGACTCGATCATGCGTGCTGTGGTCATCTCATCCCTTGCCCTGACAAACTCAAGAAAATGGGATGGGGATAGCTTGCACGAGCTGGCCACTCGAAAGGCGTTATCCGCGTACCTCAGATTGTCTGCGAAAGGAGGAGCAAAGGTGACCTCGGCAGATGGATTCTCCTTGGACGGGGCTTTGTGCTGGCCTGCACTTGCATAGCCGTTGGCCAAGATGTGCAAGCCATCGCAAGCCTTTACAGTACTGTACTCCAGAACCGACCTCACCGGCACAAGACAGAACAATGGTCTTATCTGCGGCCGGCTTGGCGGGTGCATACAAAGACTTAACACACGAGATGCTGATGACTGTTGGGGTCAGATGCTGGCACTCCCTCAACAATCTGCCCAGCAACGTGTCTGAAGGCATGAAGTATGAAGCGCGCATCGATGGAAATGCTGTAAAAGCCTGGAACTGCTGCAAAAGGGTCTCCTGAGTTGACGATTCCAAGGCGCACTTGAGCTCCTCCACTGGCTCACCTGGCTGCTCCCGATGTTCCGACCTCACCATGATTGTGCTAGCAGCCCTCAATGCAGCTCTGACCCGAGAGAGGTAGAGCGGGCTGGCTTTCGCAGATTTCCGCGCAAAACCATGCTGCTACAACAATCACTCAGCAAACGTGCACAGGAAGCGCAAGGCAAGCACACAAACAAGCTGATTTTTAGCACTCACTGGCCTCCCGGAGGTTAGGATCGAACCTTTGCCACACCCAGCAGAACAACAGGCTGATACACAAAATTGTAAGGCTCTGATGGCCCACGATGGCATGGGAGGCACGTGTGGTGGGTGTGTCCCGGTTTCCTCCTGTTGCAACGCCCGTGAAGGCACAACTGACATTGGACGCCGCAGCGAACTCGTACTGGGGGCCGTGCACCAGGATCCACAATCGGATCTGTCTGAACTGCAACATCAAGCATAGTCACTGCCTGGCTCTCAGGAGGAAAGTCGAAGAGGCCCGGTAAGTGTGGTGGACGGCAGGCCGGCGAGCATCACGAACAAAGATGGCCTCGCGCATCACATTCACCCAAATTGGCGGGAGACGCACTCCAGCAGGCCGACATGCAGGCATCCGCGACATGCCCTTGCACACCGAATGCAGTAGGTGTGAAGGCAAATAGGACAAGCCCTCACACACCAAGGAGCCAAAGGCTGGACTCCATTTCACTCCCACTTGCATTTGATCCGAAGGGAGTCAGGGGCTCTCACGAGATATTTGCGGCAGATGCGCATGTCTGAATGAAAGAAAGCCCGAGCCTTTGGAACAATGACCAGACCCAAAGTTGGACCCAAAGGGCACATGCTGACAAAATGGGACAAACCTAGTTCCCGACATTTTTTGCAGGAGGTGACAGGATCCTCGAGCGGATTGTTGAAACCACGCCGGCAGCTCATCATCGCCCTCATCTGCTTCCTCAGATGAGGACGCCGAAGAGGAAGACGGCGAATCCATGTTCTCAGGGTCCTCCGCTGTGGACTTCCGCCGGGTCTCACGAGGCATCGAAGCTGCCACTTGCTATGCTGAACCAGCTTCACCAACTCGGCCTTAGAGAGCTGCAACTCACGAAACTCATGCCAGGTGAGGCGACCAGAAAGGCGCTCAGCTGCGGTGGAAATGGCCAAAGCTACTTCAAGTTTAATGGCCGCTGAAGTCCAGACCTTATCATCGGCGTAGTGCTAAGCCATGGTGTGCTGCACTTCCGTAGGGGCTCCTTCATCAGCCGCTGATGGCCTGTCTTGCCAGTTGCCGACGGCCCGCTTCTCTGTTTGGGGGGCATCCGCATTACGTCTGCCGCCATGGGCAAGAATCGTCTCAAGCTGTACGACGTGAACGATTGCACATGCTCCCTGTCAACCCCTGGCTAAGAAGAACTGACCGAAGGAACTCAGTGAAGCGCGAGAGCTCCATGGGCCGAAGCTGCCACGTCGAAGATGACGACAACGGGTCACCCTTCGGCCACAACAAACCGAGGCGTGGAGCCCAGAGCCCTTTCAAGCGCAGCCATATCCAGAAGAATCTGCCCCGCCAAATCCAAATTGAAAGGAAGCGAAGCTGGACACGCCCAATCAAACAGAGGCTGCGCCCCTGCACTCGACGCTTGCCTCGGCGATAATTTGCCCGAAGGACTGTGTGCTCGAGACGACAGGAGTCCGATCTCTGCAGGTGCCTATAGCGACGCAAAACCACTAATGCCAGAAGAGCATGGCACAAAAAGGTCTTTATGGACCCTGCCGCTGCAGAAGCAGCCTTGCAATGGCCTGATGCCGGGTTCACGAAATTGCTTAGCCTTGGCACAACCAAGAACGTCAGCCTTATAGCTCCTGGGTCGGAGGGCTGCCGAAGCAAAGAGTCATGCTTTGGGCCTGGCTCTGGCTGCCAGCACTGTTGTCGGTGGCGAGTGGGATCGCTTCACTGTTGCACTTCTAGCCGACTTAGAGATTCTGAGATCCTGCCAATCGCCAGGCTATGGTCAGCAAGCAATAGCGTCATTACTAGCCGAGAATTCAGCTCCCGAGGATCGGCCACCAGAAAAGCGAAGTCCTCCAAGCAAGAGACTCCAAGCTCTCTGAAGCCAGATCTGGCCTCATCCGCAAGAACAGCCAGCACGACTGGAGGCAAAAGGCATACAGGATCCGCCGTGCCTACCAAGTGGGAACTCAAACGAACTGGTGCTCGCAAGCCTTGATGGCTGCACGCATAAGATCTACATGTTTATATGCGCAAGCACACCCTACCCAAACAGCCATGTAGCTTGCTGCTTCAGAAGACGTGGAAACGTAATTACTGTTCGGACGACTGGCTGTGTTGTGTCGTCGACATGTTCATCGTGTCACAAATGTCTCACGCTTGGATTATGATAACCAGCATGGTCAACAACACCGTCACTCTTATCGATGCTGTTATGTGACCCCTTATGGGTTGTTGTACCTTGATCATCGCCGTTCGAAATCATCACTGCCAGCATTGGATAGTTCTGAAATTCGGATTCAGAGTATCATCATCGTGCTCGGTTCCTGCTTGCAGCCATCTCCAAAATTCCCAGGAGGGGGGAGCTTCCAAGGCTAAGGTTCTGAAGATCTGGGGCTCAAAGGTTTGGGTTCGGTTTGTCGGCCCGGGTGAAAGTCGGCAATGTTCGATAGCTGAGTAAAGCGGACGAGGAATAGGAAGCTTCAAGGCCTCAATGCTCCGGGGCTCTTTGATTTGAGCCTCGAGTTTGTTTAAACAAGGCGCCTTGTAGGAGGGAGGAACCTTGGCGTTCCCACGCATCGCGATCTCCACCTGCGGCGGGCAGCCGTTTCTCGAAGCTCTTGCGCTTGTATCACCAACCCTCGCCAAACCTCCCGGGTGTCGTCGATGCTCTTCAGCCGCTCCTCCCTGTAGGGGTCGATGAACTTCCCCACGAGCTTGGCAGCGAGAGAGAGATAGGCTTCGGGGGGGGGGGTGCGTTTCCGTGACTTCGGAGAGTTGGCTGGCTGTTGGTTGAAAGACCTGTAGAGAGAAACTCAGCTCAGACCCGTCAAGATCTTCAAACACATGTGTTAAAAACGTTTTGACTAAGACTCGAGTCTCATTCCGATACTGCAATGTCAATACGAAGCCGAAACCTAGGAAACGATCATGCAAAGCTTCAGGAATGCTTGCAGCACAACCGGACATATCGGACTTGCATCTGGACTGTGCGCAGTCATCGTCATCGACTGAGATCCAGGCTGGATCGTAAGCATTCCGAGCCATGTGCTTGTCCGTAGCCTGCACGTCGGTCACTTCAAAAGATTTCACAACTACGTGGAAGAGAGTGGCGGCTTTCAGACAGCTGCCCAACTCCTCAAGCTCGCAGCATCCTGGCTCGCTGCCCCGGAACCCTCCTGAACATGATAGTGAAGAACCCTGCAGGCTCTTTGTGCACTTTGGCTCACATTAACAGGGGCTAGGTGCCACACCGCTTTCGTGCAGCCCCTGCCACAGAATGATCCGCCCGAGAGGCCACCGATGACCCGCATGCTGGGCGGTCTACGAAGGAAGCACAAAGCAGAAGGGCTGTAGCTGTGCGAGTTCCTGGGCTCCCCATTCGTATTCCAGCCGTTCTGGGCCGAATCCTGCCGGTAACCATCACGGGCAACCAGATTTAAAACATACAGGCCTACCCTGCCCACGATGGGCTCTTTCGACAGTTGACCACTGCTGCCGATCGAACTTTGTTGGATACGGAGTAGCCTGAGCCTGCCCTGTCAGGTGGTGCGCCTCTGGTCAACTGCCGACTACGTACACATTGGCTGAACGCTCCTAGGGCCAAGCCTGAAGCACGGTATGCTTTAGCAGAGGTCCATGTGGAACTTGGCTGAAAGGCTCCAGCTTCTATGTTTTCTGTCTTCGGCTTTGGGGCAAGAGTTCAGCTCAAAGCTTACACTCTCGATTACATGCTCAGGCCAGTCCCGATGCCGGACCTGCGCTCGGCTGTGGTGGTGGTGGGGGGGCGGGGGGGGTGGCGGTGGCGGTGGTGGTGGTCGTAGTCGTCGTCGTCGTCGTCGTCGTCGTCGTAGTAGTAGTAGTAGTAGTAGCAGCAGCAGCAGCAGCAGGAGCAGTAGCAGCACTAGCAGTAGCCGTAGCAGTAGCAGTCGCAGTAGCAGTAGCAGTAGCAGTAGCACAGCAGAAGGCTGGTCGGGGTGGGGGTGGGGGTGGGGGTGGGGTGGGGACTGGTCATGACACTAGGATGCAACCGCAGAAGCACTCTTGATAGCCACACGGTAGTCGTAGCAGGACTAGCACCAATCCTTCTGCGCACCGATGTGAAATCAGACGCTGAGGCCGATGCGCAGGAAGCAGATGCACCTCAGCATGCAGTGGGCGCCTAACGCTGCCTTTGTATGTCTCTGTGAACTTTTTTCGATCGGCTTCCAGCCGAAAGGCTACGGTCGTCAAGCTTGTGCATCTTGGGGTCTTGGGCATTAGGGCTTCGGGATTGTTGGGGATCGGCGCTGGTTTTATCGCCTCTTTTCTCCCAAGCAGCCCAGTTAGAACGCCATGCCGGCTGAGGGGGATACAGCGACGGTCCAGACTCCATCCACCCTATCTCACATTCCACACCCAACCCCATCCCAATCACTTGAGCATCTTGGAACAACATCTTTGCAGCGGCTCAAGTCAAGCCAGACAGCACCCAACACAGCAGCATCAGTACACAAGTAGCGGCTCGACAGTCCCCTGGCTCTCAACAAACAAAGCTGTCAGTTCCAAACGCACCGGGTTGCCACGTGAATGCTTCAACAATCATGTAAGAACATCCAGTGAGCAACGGCAAAGACAATGCCAGTTCTCATCCTTCTTACAACCCTGCTACGAGCCCAGTCTTTAGATCACAACAGTACCACACAGGTCTGCGTTCGGTGTTCTGGGTCAGGTTTCCAGGTTGGCGGGTTTGGTTCAAGGATCGCTTCGTTGATGTCAATATGTCTGCCGCTGAAAACCTATCTCCCTCAACTGCGGCTGTTGGACAGATGTCTTGCCCAGAAACTATCAACCTGCAAACCCCAATATTGTCCAAAAGTCCCCAGCCCTTCCGGGAGGTCTCAGGCCCCCGCCGACTGCGAGGGCCGCACCGCGCGAACGAGCTCCTAAGGCGGGGCCCCGGGCCCCGGGCCAGGCAGGGGGGTCCTAAGGGGAGGCGCCTCGATGCTCATCCAGTCGCCGCCGGCCCTGGCCTCCAAGTCCCCAGTCCTGGCAGAGGCCAAAGCCGAGAGTCAGCAAGAAAAAGCTTCAATCTCTGGGCTCCTTGGGCTTAGCCGCACCGAGACCCGCTGGGTACCGAAAAGGTAGCTGCCGGGGCCCAACCGGCAGAAGAGCGCCTGGGACGAAGACTTCGCGGCTTGCCGTCTCAGCAGTTCAAAGGCACATGAAGGCCTGGGGCTTGAGGATACGAGGGAGAATAAGGGTCTACCAGACGGCCTTGCAAGCTGGTGTTGCGGTTGCCTGTCGAGCTTCGCAGCCGCAGCCAGAAGCGAATCCATGCAAAAGTGAACAGGGAAAGCCCAAATCAAGCTTCTGGAACACATTGCTCACAAGGAAAAATCCGCAAGGCCACACCTTGCTGGCGCTGTTCTTCGGCTGGTTGGCGAAGCCCGCCACCTCTTGACAAACCAGGAGCCAGTGCTCAGCGTCAACATGCAGTAAGGACGACGACGACGACAATCACCACCATCAATAATGCCAGCATCACGACTCAAGACTGTCAGCGTTGTCTTCCTTACCCGTCGCCACTCGCCTTCTCATCGATGGGATCGTCAGGGTGCGGCCTCAGGCATCGGCCATGGGACCAGGCTGCCAAAGACTGAGCATCGTCAGAGCTTTCAGGTGCGGGGGCGCGGCTTCAAGGAGCGGGAGAACGGCTGAAGAAACGAATCTCCGCATGTGACCCGCTGCCCGGGCTGCGCCCCGGTCGGGCCCCGGGGCCCCGGCCTGTAAGCTTCGGCCAGAAGGACGGTCTCGATGGCAGCAGTCGGCAGATTTATCGAACTCGTGGGGCCTGACAAGCTTTCGCGCAGTCCACGCACAGCCAGCGATTTCTCAAGCCACCTCCACCCTGCAAGCTCTAAAACAAGCTTGAAAAAACCGCTTCTGGCGGCGCTGTGCTCTCCGAGTAAGCTCCAGATCTTCGCCTCGCTGGCCCGCCGTGGCCGTGGGTTCTCTGGGAGCGCCGCTGAACCTCGAAGCGAAGCCCCCCCGAGTTGGGGCACCGGAAGGGCACCGAAAAACTAAGGAAAGCAAGGTGCCATCCTTTCCTGGCACCTGAAAGCCCGAGAGCCGAAAGCCCCCCCAAAGCGCTGGGAGCTGGGCGCAGGCGGTGCCGAAGGCGAGGGAAGCGCTGATCTCAGGAGAAGATTGAGGCGGCTCTGAGTCAGGATCTTTGCAATCGGTCAATTGGTCCTATGGATTCTTACGACAAGTTTCAAGGACCCAGAGTGTCGGGGGATTGTACGCAAGCTCGTAAGGACGGAGGAAAGCCCTCCAAGTCGATGTCATAGAGTAGTCTAAGAAGTCAAGGCACAAAGCTCTCCGCCAGCAGCTTGCAGCATTCTGGCATCCACATCACCTTCAAGACCTCGCAGCCTCAGAACCCCAAACCCAGAACTTTCAAAACCATCAGACACTGATCCGGATTTCCACACGAAACTGAGATGACAAAAGGACTTTTGAACAGCTGAGTGCAACCCCGAAAGAGCCCGAACAGTATCTCGCTGCCATTCTCATCATGACCCCTCTTTATGTCTGAGACTAAGCCTCAGCATCATCGCCAGTGTCAAAACCATTCCGGAAACTCTCTGCAGCCACCGGGAGCCCACGCTCCCCGGGTGGCACAAGAGGCTGGGGAACGCGGGCACCTGGAACCTGGCACTCCCGGACCAGAAAGCAACGATGGTTGCAAGACTAGCAGTCGGATGATGATGGACAAACGATTAGACAGACAAAACTCGAGAGATTCCTCGGAGGCTTAGCGTCAAGACTGAAGTCAGACCATTTACAAAGGAACAACTTGAATGCTGCGTTTCACGGCCTTCGACCCTGCAAAACTCGAGCCCGTCTGCTGGTGATGCTGGAGCTGCTGTCGCGTCATAAGTGCAGCAGCAGCATTTACAGAAAATGTTGTTGGCGTTGCGCTTTTTCCGAAGCCTTGAACGGCACCTTAGACACTTGCCAGCCTTGCTGATCAGGCTGCCGGGGGTAGTGCCTGTTGTGCACAAGGAGTCCGAACCCTCTTTCGGCTTCCCCCCCACCCACGCCGCACTTTAACATCTCCACATCAAGACCGAATAGAAAGACGCATGAGGAAAATCGGACGAAGCGATTGCCTCCATCATATTCCATCCCCGGACAGACTTGATTTGGAGAGAGGTGGATTTGAAAGCTGACCTCCGGAGGGCGATGGCGAGCGCATCGCCGCTTCCTCGGTGATTCGGAACAGGCGATAAGATGGGAACTGCTCTGAGTGGAACTATCAAACTGCGACACGGTCTCGACCCGCTGCCCGGACGGTCCAAAGACGAAACCTCGTCCCACACCCTCCTCCCTCTTCACAGAGATCTGTTCCCGTCAAAGCGCCGCATCCCGGAGCAGCCGCAAGCCGACGGACTGCGTCGCTGCCTCCCTGGCAAGAGATGGGTTCGGAAACAGCACGCTGCAAGGCGAAAACTGAACGCCGGAGTTGTCGCCTCTCACGCGCGAGCGGTCCGGAGCCCAGCAGCTCCTGCAATCATCTCGCGCATTGGAACGGCAACAAATCGGGTTCACTGGACGAGGTCAGAGAGACTCCTAGATGCTGCTTCCTCTTTGGGTACAGCTTTACATGAACGCTCCGCAGAGGCAAGGCAGATTTGCTCTGGATTGGGAAGAAGCCACACAGCAACAACAGCTCTTCGTAACTCGCCAGAACAGAATGCAAAGCTCCTCGATTTGGTATGCATGGAGCTTTGTTTCACTGGCATGGACCTTGCCCGGAGCACGATACCAGCAAAGGCTGACAAGCCCTCCTGCTTAAAACGATAACAATGCTTCGGTGCACAAGCTACTCGTACAGTTCAAAGTTCAACGTCAAGTTCGATCAGGACAATGTTGAGAGCGAACGAATCCTAACGAGGCCACCTTCGCAAATTTGTAAAGGCCCGCTGACGGGCTGAACTGCAGGTTGAACCGTCGGCATCTTGAGACAGGGTAAGCTCTGCAGTGCACGGGATGACCCAGGTCCTGCTGAATCACGCTATACTTCTGAAGTTACATATTATATAGTCATTTGACTTGCTAGCTGGATACGCTGCTGTGGCATGTGTCGCGCCTGCTCCGTCATGTCGTGGATCACCCGGTCCTGATCCGCCAGATGCAGCGTGAGGCCAGTCCCAGTCCCAGCACCGCAGTCACGGCCAAGAAACAAATCTGGACTGAATCGCCCGCAGAGCCCATCCAACCACCGAGGTACCCAAGACAGTTCCGCACACAACCGGGCCTTGAAGGTGTTGCTGCTGGCCATCCCTCGCAAGGCTGCGTCCGCCTGCGCCAGGCGCGATCGCAGATCGGCCACCTGTTGGCTTGCAGTTGGATCCTACTTGTAAGGATCGCGTCTGCTTGGGGCTGGGGGAATTCAAGCATCCAAGGCAAAGGTGCGGGATGAGACAGTGGAAACCCGATGCCCAGATGTCTTTCCATGCCGGCTTACCTGCTGCTGCAGCTCCGCAGCAGATGTTTCATGACGGCGACTGATCACCTGAAGGCACTCTGGCTTTTCCGAGGGTGCAGCCGTCAAAGTGCAAACCAAAAGACAAACCAAGAACCGATCGTGAGGCGCATGAGTCTAAGCCGCGCAGAGATAGAGGCCAGCTGGGGTGATAGACACAATCCACTGCTCACATCAACAATCCTAGTGACACGTTCCCGAAGTCAAGAGAATCAGTTCTGCATCACTTCTGCATCCAAGGAACCTGTTGCTTCATGAAGCGGCGGTCACGCTCAGCGATCTCCTCCTCGAAAACAAGCACAAGAATGGCTGTCAGCGTATGAGCGAACGGGGCTCGGGGCCAGCTACTGCTACCTTATGTCTTTTCCGCTATGTGGCTCTGGTCAAGCTTCAACGGCGGGTCAGGTTCCCGCAGGCACGGAAGGATCGGCATCGTTTGTGCAAGCGCCTATAACCTGATGTTCTTGAGCCATCGGAACCAAGTAGCCGAAGAGTATATAGAGCCCAGGGTACCCCTCACCTCAATAGCCCTGAACCCGCCCGAGAGAATAACCGACACCTACCCCGAGCACCCGGAGTCATGGCTGCTGTGATTGCGAGTCTCCTGGAGGTCCTGAACGACCTGCTGTGCAGTGCGGCCTTGGCAGCATCGAGTTCTGAAAAAAATCGAGAACACGGAAAATCCTGTCACAACTAAGAGACTGAATGCCTGCTGCAGTCCAACAGCTCCGAACATCACTGTCCTTCCACCCTTACCCCACCCAACCAGACTTACCACCGCGAACCACTCTCTGCTTCTCCGCGGCAGTCGTGCTGCCATGCGCCCATCTCCTCCTGACACTGGCCAGGGTCCGGGCGGTAGTTGGCATCAGACTTTGCTTCAGCCGGGCGTTAAGGATAAGTCTTTCCTTTTCCTTTGTGCAAAAGATGCGGAAACCAGAAGAGGCAGGGTTTCGGGGACCCCAAGGGTGGGGTGGCGGGAGTCGGCCTGGACCTTTGCCAGCTTGGAGGTGGCGGCCTGTGCCATCGCCCGGCCTTCGCGGTGGCTCCGCTCCACCTGGCGAACGTGGTTGGGGGACGGGCCGTCAAGGACAAAATGCAGCATGCCTTATCACCGCTCAGAGCTTTGATGTTGGATGCTGCATCCTACGGTTTGAGAGGAGTAGGCCCCTCAAATGGGAGCGAATCCGGCTTTTCCGTCACGGTAAGCAGCTACTCCAAGACCCCCCTCTTCGGCAGAGTCCCATCACAGAGCCAAATTTTAAAAGAACGTAGGCCCTCTAAGACCAAGCTTCGCCTGCTCCTCGAGCTCGATGATGCGCTTCATCTTGGTGGAAAGGTTTGCAGCAAGCTCCTCCCGGGGCCGGGGCCCACATCCACCGCGCTGGTACGCTTGGGGGGCATCGGGTAGGCTGGCGAACTTGGACTAGGACCCTAAACGAGCCCCGAGTTGGAAGAGGAAGCCCAGCACATCGTCGAGGGGCGCGATGAAATGCCAAGGCCTTACATGAGGCACTTCGACCTGCGCAAACTGTGGAGCCGGGAAGCGCTGCTTGGTTTTTGTTTTGGGCCGCATCCTCGGAGTCCCCAGGGCTCCTTGACCTCCCGGCGCTTCTCGGTAATGCTGCCCTGCGCCTCCTGTCAACAGGGAGAGCCAAAAGAACGCTCAGCGCTTCAAAAGTAGAGGCCCCCGGAGGCCAAAGAATGGACCTCGCCTGAAGCTGGACCTGCAGGTCGTCCACCTGCCCGCGGAGCTCCTTGCTGCCACGGCTGGGATTCTACAAATGTAGGCGCTCAAAAGCTGAAAGCTGTCAAGCAAACCATTACAGCTCCGGCAACACGGTAGAGGCACAAGGAAGGACTTTGCTGCCGTCTCTAAGAAGAAGCGCAACTGGCTTCAAATACGACACACGACCTCTCGGGAATCACCTATGTCTTGTTGGCAAGCAATGGCCAGAGACGGAATAGGTTCGCAACAACTTAAGAGGGTGGTGAGGTTGAGGTTCCAAATATACTGGCACTGCGGGAGCCCATACTGAAACGAAACATTGACACGATGTTGACAAATCCCTCGGCTCTTAAATGACCACACTCCAAAGCTGTCCCGCCTCGTTCTCCCGCGCCAAGGTCGAAGCGTCTTGCTTCATGCGCAGGGAGTCGTGGAACATCTGGATGGCCTGCGAACCGACAATTAATCAGAACTACGCAATGAGGATGAGGAGCAGGATGAGGAGTATGAGGTTGAGGAGCATAAGAATGACGAAAAGGAGGCGGAGGCGGAGAAGTAGGACGAGGAGGAGGCGGAGGCGGAGGAGAAGGACGAGGAGGAGGAGGAGGAGGATCACGAGGACATGAAGACGATGAAGATGGCGGTGGCGATGGTGGCGACGACGAGCTTTCAATTGTAACGATTTCACGACAAACTGGCGCATCATCACCACCGCTAACACCATCATCAAAGCGATCACCACCAGCAGCACAGGCATCTGCGTCATCATCATCGTCATGATCATCATCATCATCACCATCATCATCTTCACCGTCAGCTTCATCTTCAAAACGGTAAGAAGAGCAATGAGCACTGGTGGCAAGACTAGTAGCGCCCATGATAAATTAGCAGAAGCACTTGTCGTCGCAGTGGTGGCAGAAACCCAGTACGATAGCAGGAGCTTCTCAAGTCATTACTATGCACCATAGCAACGACGACTGTGCGGCTACAACGACAACAATGACAACAGTTGTGAATAAGATAAAAATGTGAAGACACATCGTCCAAATAGCCATGATCCTCCGCGGCAGCATGATCAACAACAACAAAAACGACAAATGGCATCCCCCGCATAGTCCCAGGCCCCATATCGTAGTATGACGCAGGACTTAAGACCGAAAACCCATCCACCGTCTTGGCGCCTGCGCTCCGAGCTGCAGCGCGGAGGCATCCGCCATCTGGGGGTCCACCGCCTCGAGGCTGCTTGGGAAATCGATGCTTTCAAACAGCGACTGCTTCAGAAAAGGCACAAAACAACACCAAAGGCGACAGCAAAGCGGAATCATGGAACGTAACCAACAGCTGTCTGTGCCTGGACTGCTGCCAACTGCTTCTCCTTCGCCAGGAGAAGCTGTTCCACTTGCGCCTGATGGCGACAGAGTTCAGGAATTTCAGTGATGTGGCTCTTGGATTCTTCTTTGCCCCTTTCGAGTTCGATGTCCGTGTCTCTAGCCCGTGGAAGACCCAGCCTTCACGAGCTACTCAAAACACGGAGACCCAGGCTTCTGCCCACAGAACGGCCCCAGCAGGGCAGAAAGACTATTTGCCAACAATAGCTTCCGACTCTGAGCGTGTCTGGGAGATTACATGCTGCAACCACTTTAGCCATAGATCCACGTGCCCCTTTTTATAGAAGTGCTCTGGCTGTGATGTATCGCAGGTGCCTTTTCGGACCGTAACTCCTCAAGCTTCTGATGCACCTGCCGATCCAGTCCAGAACTCACGGCTTGATGAAATGCTGGCGTTGGAGAGTGCGCCTGCTTTGAACCTGTCAGCTTCTGCATCTCCCGGACCTGTCAGGACACGACGAACAACCCGAAGTTGCCAAGACGACTGTTTTTTTTAATCACACGGGCGAGCACAGACCCGCCGACGAGCTTCCGCACCCGGGGTAGTTTCTTGTTCAGACCCTTTGTGAAGCAGGGTGGTTTTCCTCTGAGACTTCTGTTAGTGCCAACATTGTGTAATCTTCAGCGCTTTGCGGCTTACCTGCCACCCTCCACAAGGGATGGCCACAACTGAAACCATAAACTCTCATACACTCCAGAATCCCCCCAGGCCTGCTGGTCCCTCACGCGGACCAGTGAGGTGATCAGGTCGATCTCCCGCTGCTTCGCCTCCGCTCTCTGAGGGCTTAGGCCGGGCCCTTTTTTTTGGGCTTTGTGATCAGACTCCCACTCCATTCTGAAAACTTGGGCCGGCGGAAACTTGAGGTCTCTTGGGCCAGAGAAACCCACCTCCAAGGCCAGGCGGTGCTCCTCCTCCCTCATCTTCAGCTGGGCCGCTGCGAAGCCCTGGGCCCAAAACCCCGAAGAGTGAACGGAGAGTGTAGGGCCCAAAGGTTGCCTTTCAGCCATAGGCCACAGCATACCACACATCCTTGGATCCCACCTCGTCGCCACGGCCCGATTGCAGCATCTGCACAGCCTGGTAGGGCAGCCGCGTGATGATGCCGGCAGGTTCTGGGGTGACAGGCTTGTCCGCGTTCGACTCTCAGAACCGCAGAAGACCCGTCTCCCCAAGACCCTCCCCGCCTGCCGCAGGCGGAAGTTCTCTGCCTTCGCTTGGAGGCATCTTCGTTTCGGCGGGCATTGCCAATAGGTGTGGCTCTGACAAGTCTCTGCTCCTTGGTAACGAAGTCACTTCCCTTTTGTGCCTCCATCTGCTTGAGGACGGCCTCGTGCTGATCCTGCAAAGTCAATAGCCACAAGAGGTTGAAAATGGCTGAAGCACTGCAGTGGCCATGCCCCTCACCGTTTCTGCCTGACTTGATTGTAGAAGCAGGCGTGCTCAAACTCTACCGGCAATCAGGTCCCGCTGGGTGTTCAGCAGGTTTTCGTACTCCAAGGTGGCACCTGGTTTTGCGAACCGAGAGGATTCGTTATCAGCTCTAATTGCTTCTTCCAAACCTAATCGCGGCTGTCCTTTTCTGTAGGACTGTAAGACTCGCTTGACGAAAAGCTCCGTCGACTCCTAGAGGCACACGGTGCTCGACTCGACCCTGAAACCGCCTGAAACCTGCTTTGCGCTTTCATCCTGAAGCATGTGACAGTCCGAGCTCTGGAAACTCCGGTGGAGTCGTGGAAGTCGTGAGCAGCCAAACTCCGTCACTGCCCGACTTCGGACATAAGTTTCCCACTCCACAACTGCGCGTTCGCATAGTCCACGGGAACCACCTTAAAGCAACGCCCCGGAGTCTGCAACTGAGAGCGCAGAGAGATGCATCCAGGTCACGGATTCCGCGGAGGGCGTGGAGCAGCTCTCGGCCTGGCTTGGGGTGGGGTCCCGTTCCGTGACTCAGACCCCTTTAGAGAGAGAGAGTGCCTGGCTCCAGCACGGCCCAGGCGGGCCTGGCGGCAAGGGGCGTTTGAGCTCTCCCAGTGGAGCTCAGAGCCAGAGGCTTTAGGGTCAAGGGGTCTGGGACTAGGATGTCTAGGGGTCTTCTCTGAAAAGTCCGGATTTGACACGGTTGTGCGTGGGCTTAGCACCATCGCCTTTTCAACTCTGCATTGCAATAAGGGCTCGGCTTCGCAGGGATCCGAAGCTGCAGGGCACTCTGGCGTCCAGCACTCCCTTCGCACCACGGCTCGCAGAGAGCTTCCAGGGAGGGAGCAAGTCTCCAGGGCGCAAGGTTCGTTCCGCACAGGCTTCAGAAGCCAACCGTGGGCGCAATGTAGTCGTAGACTTGTCACAGGGCTGCGCTCGAATAGCTGCCTTACACAACCTGCACGTCCTGTCGAGGGTGAACGCAGCTCGTCGCTCCGCCCTTCGGAGTTGAGGCGAGAACAACTCCGGCAGTTCAAAGGCTCCTCCGCAAGACTTCCGGATCTAGGAGCTGCTCATAGAGGTTCAGCTCGTTCAATGCAGACTGCGGCTCTTGCTCGGGACCGTCTTCGAGGGGGGCCAGCGCCGAGCCGTTGCTTTGGCCTTCCGCTGCTTCCACGGGCGTCGAGTGCTCCGACCGGTTGCCGCTTCCCGGCGTCTCCTTCGGCTCCGACTCGCAGCGCTCTCCTGAGCGCTGCTCCACCGAGGGGGGTGCCGGGTCCGACCGGGGTGTCGAACGCGGCGTGCCTGTGCTCGGCAGCTCCTTCTTGACAGCAGCGATTTTGTTTCTACTTTCCTTCAGGTCCGGCAGAAAGATATCAAAAGAAATCTTCTCCAGGAAGGCCTTCCATGCACGCATGTGATCCCTGTCCAGTTTCCGGTTCGAGATGGCTCCGACCTCAGTTCGGGCTAAAAACATCAAACTGTAAGGCGAGCCTCTTTAAGGCAAACCTTTTCAGCCCAAAGCGTACAGAAAACAAGGATGCCATGATGCCTTGACGACCTTCTCGTCGTGACCGCGCGCCGCACGGATCTTCCAGTCGTATTCGCGCGTCTTTGTCGGTCGTCGCTCCGGCAAACGGGAAAAGACGGTTGCCTGGTCGGTGCTGCACTGCTTGTCGACCTTTTCTACTCAGCTATCCTACAAAGAATTCCTAAACAGTATAAGATTAGCAGGTGCATCAAGCACATTCTGACGTTGCTCCTAACTGGCTGCCCCTGAGAGCTAGGAGGCTGCTTTGATACTTCTGGCTAGCAGTAACGAGTAGTAACCGTCCAAGGTGTTTCAGTGATCCTTTTGGCTCCAACTCGCATGTCATAGAAATGAGGGAATCTGATGGACATGTCCACATGTTGCCAAACTTCATTTTTTAAAAAAAGTCTGCGTTCGCTGTTGTGAAGCCGGCAAGATCCTCAGGCTCAAAGAATAAGGAAGTGGTTTGCGTTATCCCGGGTTCTACAAGAAAATCCGGCGGTTCTGGTGCATCACATGCTGTCACTTCACAAGAAACTGCATGGAGGTAGCGCGGGTCCTTCTTCAGCACATAGGTAGCCGAGGTCTCAATTTCCACGATCTGATCCACTATCCGTGAGCAGTCTTGATTTGTGTAGGTAACGAAAGGAAGCCGGGCTAGGCAGATTGAACTGGTTTGCACAGCAAAGACAATCACTGAGTGAGAAATAGAGACAGAGAAACGGAAACACAGACAGAAGATATTAAGAAGGGAACGTGAAGGAAGCTTGATTGAAAGCAAATCCCACGCAGACCTGGGCAGCGGCCCAACATCCCTCAGTGGCCCGAACCAGGACGAAGGCACCCCTGATTCGTAAGTCCTGGCAGTGCCGGGGGTCGAGAAATCTTGCTGTTTACAGTGTTGCTGTTTACAGTGTTCCGGTGTGCTTGCATTTTCGTGTCCCTTGTACTCTCCTTGTTTACATCGCATTACTATACACTCCCCGAGATAGTTCATATTGTCTACAGAGCCAACCCAAGACTCTTCGCACTTTTGAAGCGGCACGTCACTGCACAATGTGAGAGACAGTTTACAGCATGGTACCGGCGATGTCCGAGTGAGAGCTCGTATCCTTCACACCGGAGGAGGTGCCATCCCACAGAGAAAGAGAGAAAGTGGGAGAGAGAGAGAGAGCGAAAAAAAATACTACATGCGTGTGTGTATGTATGTATGTATGTATGTATGTATGTATGTATGTACATGTATATGTATATGTACATGTACATGTACATGTACATATACTTTATACATACACATATACATACATACATACATACATACATACATACATACATACATATCCATCCGTGTGCATGTATATGTCCTTGTACATGTAACTACTGTATGTGCACAAATCTCGGTCTTGTTCTGGTCGG